TACCCTGTGAGGTAGGCGGGGCTGAGAGAGCTCTTGACAGAAACTGCTCTTTTTCAAGAACAGCTCTTATCAGAACTATGGCTTGCCCAAGGTCATCCAGCCAGGTGCAAGTGGAGGAGTGGGGAATCAAACCCGGTTCTCCCAGATTAGAGTCCGCACACTTAACCACTACACCAAACTGGCTCTCAAAACATTCAGAGGTGGTAGTTTGCCATTGCCTGCCTCTGCGTCACACACCTGGTATTCCTTGGAGATCTCCCATCCAAATAATGACAAGGGCTGACCCTGCTTAGTTTCTGAGATCTGACGAGATTGGGCTAGCCTGGGCTATTCAACTCAGGGTTTGCACATACAGCTCCCAAATGGGGGAGAGAGAGAGATTCCCCATCCAGGGCTGTTTTGGCTTGAGAAGATGATATGAGGTAGGGAGAGCCCTTCCTCCCCCTCCTGCATCACAGTTCTGAGATGAATCGGGCTCCTGCTGATTATGAAAATGAAGTTTACGGCAGCTGATGTGTGGTTGCAGGAAAAGTGAGTCTGGTCCAGGGAACCCGGACCCCTCCCACCACGAATGTATTGTGTAGTTTGGCTCTGAGACCCTCTTCCATGCTTCTCCACTCTGGGCATTTGTGAATCTATGGCTGTACTCTGGGACATTCTCTCCGTGGAGGCCTAGGGATGTCAGGCTCCAGGTGGGACCCGGGGATCCCCCCGCAATTACAGCTCGTCTCCAGACTACAGAAATCAGTTCCCCTGGAGAAGATGGATACTCTGGAGGGTGGACTCTGTGGCATTGCACCCTCCCTGAGGTCCCTGTCCTCTCCAAGCTCCATTCCCAAATAATCAGGAGTTCCCCAGTCTGGATCCGGCAACCCTCCCCCTCCCATCCCTTGCCAGCAGCCCGAGGTCCCTGGTAACCCTGTCCTTTGCACGTTGCTGAAGGTGTTATCCCACTGGCTGATTTTGAGCTGCAGACTTCCGTTGATTGACTGGTTGTCGCCAGGGGTCATTTCGTAGAAAAAGAGGCGCAGGAGCTCATTAGCATAACTTATTTGCATATGCCACACCCCCTGACATCACCAGAAGTGTGTCAGAAGGCAACACCCACTGCTCAGGCTCCACTGGACTGTTTTGGATTGCTAGCTATTGGGGGGGGGACGTGCAGATCTGCCCTCACAGAGGAGGGAGAGCTTGTGCCTGAGTAAAACTTGGTCTTAAAGGTGCCTCTGGACTGTTTTGGACCGGGGGGCCGGGGGGGGGGCTCTGCAGCTTACCTGGCTGCTTCTTGCTCTGACTGAGGGCTGCTGGGAGCAGGGGGTGGGGCTTGTTGCATGTGCCCGCCCCCTGGGCTCTTTACTGCCCGAGCTCCGGTCCTGTGCGCTCCTGCAGGAAATGACCCCTGGTTGTCGCCATCTGGGTTTCTCTGCAGTTCGATTTTATTGGTGTTGGCTTTTATTCTTTTTTTGTTTGACTATGATTGTGAGGAAAGGCTGAAAGAGTTGGGTATGTTTAGCCTGGGAAAGAGAAGGCTTAGAGGGGGACATGATTGCAGTCTTCAAGTATTGGAAGGGCTGTCATGTAGAAGATGGAGCGGATCTATTCTCTCTTGCTACGGATTGCAAGACTAGATCTAATGGGTGGAAATGACAAGGGAGTCGTTACCGGCTAAATATCAGGAGAAACTTCCTAACTGTAAGAGTGGTTGAGCAGTGGAACAATCTGCCTCGGGAGGTGGTGGATGCTCCTTCGCTGGACGTTTTCAAGCGGAGGCTGGACGACCATCTTTCAGGTATGTTGTAGGTTTGTAGGGCTATCTTTCGGCTATGCTCCTGCAGAGTGCAGGGGGTTGGACTAGATGACCTGCAAGGTCTCTTCCAATTCTAACATTCTATGATTCTATGATTGAATCATTAGCTGGTTTGATAGGGTCTGCTGGACCAAAATTGTGATCAGTACTTCTTATATTCATAAAATGAACCTTGGGGATGCTTCCTCCATACGTGAGGCCTGGGACAATTGACCTCCATTGAACTGCAGGGAAGGGCTCTGTGCCGTTGCGACATTCTCTCCCATGGCTCCTTTGGTGTTTGGAGTGTTTCAATTTTTTTATATGGAACAACAGTGCCGATTAACAAGAAAGGAAATGTTGCGAACGACACCGAGCATGGTTTTCCTCTAGTGTGTTATTTACTAGCAGTGGGCCCACCAGTGTGACAGCGGTCTAGAGATGCACTGTCTCTCCTGAGCTTCTAGCCAGACTCCCGATGTGGGAGCGCCCCCTGGAGGAGCAGTGTGTCAGACGTGAAGCACAATCGATAGATTCCGGAGAACTGGCTTATAGCCCTATAAAAATATGGCATCTAAGAAAGGTAATTTCATGCCTTGTTATTCCGGTCAGCTGTGCCCCCTGAAAAAGTCTGGCGCTGTTTTGGAAGGTCACCGTTTTGTAAAAAGCTCTTCTCAGACCTCTCCCCTGTTTGTTCATAGCCATCAAAAGCAGGTCTTTTCTTTGTTTGGACGAATGACCCAGAAGCTTTTATAGAATTTGGAGAGAATCACCCGGTCGGTTTTAGCCTGCTTAGCCTCTGAAATCTGATGAGATTGAGTTAGCCTAGGCTATCCCAGTCAGGGATAAGACTGAAAATATGACTCCAGAATGTCTTTTTCAATGAGAACAATTTTTCTGGTCCTTCCTATATTGGCTTTCAGCATAGTCTGGGAGTGCCATAAGGCCTGGTTCACTGTTACACACAAAATCAAATTATCTTCTGGGCAGTGATGTTTCTGGAGGCTGAATTTGATGGGCTGGGACCACTGGCGCAGCGGAGGGGCTAGTAGGACTACCCACGTACCGCTTTTCTCTTGCAACACCCTCTCCCATTTTGCTTTCCTTGGGGGGTGGGGGAGAATTCCAAGCAAGCATTTCCCCCCCACAGGAGGAAAAGAGGTTTTTCTGTGTGTGTTTGCTGTGGAAAGGCAGCCTGCGGGGAAAGGGGAAAGCACCCCTTCACCCCCACATCTTTGATTAGTCACCCCTTCTCAAGCCTACTTCTGTCTGATGGAGGGACTGTTGCGCTTTCATTATAGTACTAAGTCTTGAAATCTGCTTGGGTCATGTGAGATCTCTCAGTAGCTTTCAGAGGTCCATAAGTGGCTATTAGCCACAAGGTACAGATGAAACTCTATGTCTGGGGCAGTGATGCTCTGTATTCTTGGTGCCTGGGGGGCCACAGTGGGAGGGCTTCTGGAGTTCTGGCCCCCTCTGCTGGACCTCCTGGTGGCACCTGGGCTTTGGCCACTGTGTGACACAGAGTGTTGGACTGGATGGGCCATTGTCAGCTAGGCCGTCATGAAGATGGGGGAGGGGTGCTTTGGAATGATGAGTTTCGTTTCTGCTGTGCCTACACTGAGCTTATTATCTGTCTTCTGTGTTATATGACCGTGTCTGATGTAGTCTTTCTCCTGGGAAATGTTACCCGTTATTTTGGCGGGCTTCTGCTGCCTACCTAATTAGCTGGGGCCATCAGGGGACCCTTTTGAGTTATCTATATATCTAATAGCCAAGGCGCCCCCTGCGTGCGGATATCTAAATCCGCACATCGGGGGCACCTGGGGGGCAGGGAGATTTTCGTGCACATTTGGGGCAATCCCCAGATGTGCAGAAAAATCTGAAAAGTTGAAAAAAATATAGAGGGAATACTTAAATCCCCCCAAAAGTAAAAGAATGTTCCCTGCGCATGCGCAGGGAACGCACTTACCACTAGGCACTATAGCAGAGCCGTTGCTGCTGGCGGCGGCAGCACGTAGGGAGAAGCTTTGGCGCGCTGCGGCTGGGAGCCATGGTCGTTGCTGGGGGGAAGGGAGCCGCACAGGGCTCACCCGGCAGCTAGGAGCCGCACAGCTAGGAGCCGGCAGCTAGGAGCCACACAGGGCTCACCGCCGTTGCTGCTGGCAACTGCGGTGGTGGTGGTGGGAGAAACCTTGGAGGGCCGGTGGAAGGGTGGGCACTGCCACTAGAGGGGAAGGGGGGGAGAAGGTTTGGTGAGCGGGCTGGCCGGCCACTCAGGCCTCGCTGCCACTGCTGTGGGGAGGAGGGAGAAAGCCTGGCGGGCCCGATAGCTGGAAGCCATGCAGGCCTTGCCATTGGTGCCGCGGGGGGTGGGGGAGAAGGCTTGGCAGGCCTGGTGGGAGCTGCACGGGCCTCGCCATTGGTGCTGGAGGCAGGGAAAAGGCTTGGCGGGCCCAGTGGGAGCCGCATGGGTTTCACCGTTGGTGCCAGGGGAAGGGGGGAGGCTTACTTGCGGCTGCTTCCTCCTCCTCCCATGGAGCTCCCCCCCCCGTATTGCGGGTCCTCCTTCTTGTGTATATCTATTTGCTTCGCAGGCTTTCTCTTTAGTTCTAACACAAAATGGTTATGATACTTGCAGCACTACTGTCTCAATAAACTTCACTTCTTTGAATGAACATTGTGGGGAACTGATTGCCTCAGGAGTCTGACGGCCATTGGCCTATTTCCACATGGCTTCTCTTATGTTCTTAGATCTGTGGTTCATTGTATTACAACACTGGAAGGATCTCTGTGGTGTGGGTGGCATAGCTTTGAAATAACTCCATTCTTTCATATCATGTTATCCTTTGAAGTGGGGGGAAGGCGTTTCTTATGGGGGGATACCCATGCTATGTCACACGTTCAATCCCATCCTTCTTACACATGTTCCTTTGCCGTGTCTTGCAGGCTGCGGTACATGGTGAAACAGCTGGAGACGGGAGAAGTGGATATTGTGGAATTGAAGAAGAACTTGGAATATACCGCTTCGTTGCTTGAAGCTGTCTACATCGATGAGACCAGGTGAGGCGCTGGGGCTTGGATTGCCATGTGGAAGAATCATGTGGAATCTTCGCAGAATTCTTCAGGTGGATTCCTGAGGTGGCAGCTCAACACCCCGAATACAGATGGTAGCTGATATAGACATCCCCAGTGTGTCTGTTGAAAGCAAAAATATCCCCTTGATGACTGTATTCTCTAGACTCAACTTTATACCGGGTCAAATCGTTGTCCATTTAGCATGGTATTTTCGGGGGGTGGGGCTCCCCAAGCAGTTTTGTTTAAGCAGCACAGCTCTGCCCTCACCTGGATAGCTGTTGGAGTTTCAAGTCGCTTACACTTCAGTCATTACAGAGTTAAGTATTGTTTGTTAGGAAACAGGATGTTGTGTTCCATAATGTATTCTACAGCAGGAAAGTTTGTGGGAGTTGTTTACTCTAATGAAGTGATCTGTAACCTTTGTATTGGTCAACTAACAACTTGCTTGTGGAAATGCTTTGATCTGGCATTAATGTATTCACAAGGTTTATGGCTCTTTGTGTGAAACAGACAGGAAGCTCCCCTCTAGAAGTCGACAGGGTTAGAAAGATGTAGCCATTAGAATAGTACAGAAAGTAACTGCAAGTATGTAACCTCTTCATTTTATTTCTTTTATCCAAAGTACCTTACCCATGCTTTATTTTGTTTTATAGTAGAGATATTTTTCTTTTACTAATGTGGCTCTTGTGTTTGCAAAACGACCATCGATCTTGATTCTCAGAATCCCAATAATAGCTCACACTAGCCCGATCCTGTCAGATCTCGGAAGCTAAGCAGGGTCGGTCCTGGCTAGTATTTGGATGGGCGACCTCCAAGGAATACCAGGGGCGTGACGCAGAGGCAGGCAACGGCAAAACCACCTCTGAAACATCTCTTGCCTTAAGAGCAAGTCTAGTTCGCCACCTAGTGGTGCATAACGCTAAAAGAGCTAGAACTTCTCGCTGCCAGACAATCTTAGGATCTCCTGGCTACTCTAAACACAATGCCATACAATAATAATAATTATTATTAGCAACAGGTCTCCCAGGTCTCAGGTAGAGAAAGGCCTTGACTGTCTTCCCTCCTGGAGATGACAGTGACTGAGATGTCTTTGTCACCTTCTGTGCAAAGTATGTTTTTTGCTATGAACCCTTCCCAGCAGGGATGTGAGTTTAAAGGAAATTTAGGAGATAGAGGCTGTGTATGGCGGGGGGATTTATGGTTTCGATTCTACCCACACTCCCAGCCCCAGTTTGAGAACAGCAGTCCTGTAAATGCTTCTCTGTGCTGCTCACTTTAGAGCAGGGGTCCCCAGCAGTGTTCCCTCTAAGCTGAGTTAGTGCGAGCCAGCTCACAGTGTTTTAGCCTCCGGCTCACACATTTTTTGTCTTGACTCAGGGAGGAGGGCTCCAGAGCAAACTCATTTATGCAGTAGCCCAATCGCTCGCTCGCAACTTTCATGCCAGGAGCTCACAAGGTAGAATTTTTGCTCACAAGACTCCACAGCTTAGAGGGAGCAGGGGTCCCCAGCCTTTCTGAGCCCGCACTCACCTTTGGAATCCTGGCACAGGGTGATGGGCACAATCACAAAATGGCTGCCACGGGAGGTGGAGGTGGAGCCAATCACAGAAGGTCAGGGAGCAATTATGTCTGTAACTCTAATGTTAACTCTTCAGCATTTCAGGAAGCAGCTGTGTTTATCTGCATGGCCAGTCAAAAACCCTGCTGGCCAAACACCCCACCCAGTCCCTCCCACTTTCTAAAAGCACTTGAGAGGCTCCAGGAAGGATTTTGACAGGCACCAATGGCACCCACAGGAACTGTGTGGGGGAACCCATCTTTAAAGCTATTAAGAGGGATGGAAAATACAGTCTGTTGAATTTACCAGTTAACATGATTAAAGAGTGATGTTCGCTGTTATCTAGAATCTTGTTTAAAGCAAGTTTCTCTTAATTTGAATCTTGAAATCAGAACCTGGAAATTAAAAAAATCTGCATTCAAACACCGGAAAAAGAAATTGGCTGCATTTCAGGTGTTTGCACAAGTTTTAATCTCTGCTCTGATTCCTGTAACATTGCCAAATGCTTACTGTTCATCTCCCCCCACCCCCCTTTCCTCCAACGCAATTGCTGTTTCAGGCAGATTTTGGACACGGAAGATGAGCTCCAGGAGATCAAGTCAGATGCGGTACCCTCCGAGGTGCGGGACTGGCTGGCCTCCACTTTCACCCAGCAGACGCGGGCCAAGGGGCGCCGTTCGGAGGAGAAGCCCAAGTTCCGCAGCATCGTTCACGCCGTGCAAGCCGGCATCTTTGTGGAAAGGTTTGGACTGGCCTTGGGGTGGGGTGGATCAGGGCCGCTCCAAGGGTCCTTCCAGAGAGGAAGGTAGTCCTCCATCTGCTCTGTATTTCTAGAAAACAGAAAACAGACTGGTTTTTGTTAAGTCGCTCGCTTAACAAAGAAGTCAGAGAGTGATTCAGCAAGAACACAGCTTTATTCTTCAACTCGAACACAACTCCAACATGGATCAACATCTGATAGCCAGAACAGCCTTTACATTGCAGCTGTCCTGCTTTTAAACATCCCCGGCTAATGTAGCCACACCCACTGTACAAATACCAACCAATAAGGTTGTTCACATAAGGACCAATCACGGATGTTCCCGCTCAGGGAGCTTGCTTGAAAGTGATTGGCTAGGTGCTTCCTGGGCTAGTAACACGATTGGATGGATTTGGATCCTAGCCCAGGACGAAGCTTTACGTTGCACTTCAATTAGATGTGTCACAACATATCATGCGTTCAAGGCAGCTTTGAATACACTACAGTTTTCTGATGAGTTATGCCATGGCACTTGGGGAAAGTGGGAGAGGGAAAAACAGAGAGGAATAGAGACATAGCAAGATACAGTAAAGATGAAAACAATATGTAAGGCAGAAAAAGGTAGAATGGGTTCCTTGTTCCTGCTTAGGCTTCAGGTGGGGTCCTGGGTTTGGATCAGTCTGAACAGGCCAGCTTAGACCGTGTTTATCACACCCTAGAAGCTAAGCAGGGCCTACCATGGTTACCACTTGGATGGGAGACTGCTAAGGAAGTTGGGGGGTTCTGTGCAGAGGAAGGCAATGGAAAACCTCCTGTTTTTGTCTCTTGCCCCGAATGTCCTGTTAATGGGGTGGCCATGAGTCAGTTGTGGCTCAAGGACATGTTCTTCTACCTCCTGGGTTGGGAAGGACTGAAAACTACAAGGGGGAAGGGACCTGGGATTGATGCAGCTCCGTGTCCAATTCTAACACAGTCAAACGTAATCTGGGACTTAGTTCATTCTGAAGCACACCTGACCCACTGTTATCCGCCTTGCAGGATGTTCCGTCGGACGTACACAGCTGTGGGGCCCAACTATTCCCAATCCGTCATCAACTGCCTGAAGGTAAGGCAACAACCCTCTTTCTCCAGCCCCGTCCCTTCCCTTCCATTGTTTAGCTGTAACGGGCGAGTGTGACCCTCCATTTTTTTGTTTTTGGTTGTGTTTTTGTTGTATAGACTCTTGACCTCTGGTGTTTTGACGTCTTTGCGCTGAACAGGGTGAGTGAGGACCACGCTTTGCGCACAATTGTCTTCGAACTGCTCACCCGCCACAACGTGAACAGCCGCTTCAAGGTAAGGTGTGTGCGTGCGTGTGAGCATTGAGTATCAGACTGTGGCTTGAGCTTTCTGTAACTGTAATGGGAGAGCTGGTGTGTTAGTCCAGATCTCTTGCTAAATTTTGCAGAGAGCACTAAAGGCTCAGAACACAGCAGGACTTCTTTGCTCAGCACATGCTTGTAAGACTACAGAATTACACAGAGCCACTTGTCATTTTAAAAGAAAATAAGAACTCCTTTATTTAGGAAATACATAATGGGGGCTGCGGTGGCTCAGTGGTTAAGACACTGAACTGCAGACTGGAAGGTCAGTAGTTTGGCAGTTCGAGACCCGAGTGCCGCATGACTGAGTGAGTTCCCATCTCTGGTCGCAGCTCCTGCCGACCTAGCAGTTTGAAAGCAAGAAATTGCAAGTAGATAAATAGGTACTGCTTTGGTGGGAAGGTAAAAGCATCCTGTGCACCTTGGCATTTAGTCATGCTGGCCACATGACCACAGAGACATCTTCAGACAGCGCTGGCTCTTTGGCTTGGAAACGGAGATGAGCACCGCCCCCTAGAGTCGGATTCAACTGGCTTTCGAGCAAGGGAAGCCTCTACCTTTACCTTTAGTGCAGCTTAGAGACAGTGACAATTTCTATTCTATCTAGCTAGGGATGGATGCGGATGCAGAGACAGATGGACTCCCATTCTCACTGCATCTGAAGAAGTGAGCAATGACTCACGAAAGCTCCTCCCCTGCCACAGATTTTGTTAGTCTTTAAGGTGCTCCTGGACTTTTACTCTTTTCACCCTCAAGGTTGAGTGGCACCCATACAAACATGGGTGCCAGTCCTCGCTCATTCTCATCTCCAAATCTTGAGAGCCAGTTTGGTGTAGTGGTTAAGTGCGCGGACTCTAATCTGGGAGAACCGGGTTTGATTCCCCACTCCTCCACTTGCACCTGCTGATGTGACCTTGGGTCAGTCACAAGCTCTGGCACAGCTGTCCTTGAAAAAGAGCAGTTTGTGTCAGAGTTCTCTCAGCCCCACCCACCTCACAGGGTGTCTGTTGTGGGGAGGGGAAGGGAAAGGAGTTTGTAAGCCGCTCTGAGACTCCAAGTGAAGGGCGGGGTATAAATCCAACCTCTTCTTCTTCTTCTTCTTCTTCTTCTTCTTCTTCTTCTTCTTCTTCTTCTTCTTCTTCTTCTTCTTCTTCTTCTTCTTCTTCTTCTTCTTCTTCTTCTTCTCTGATGCCAACTGATTTTCACCCTTTCACAGATTCCCACAGTGTACCTCACGACCTTCCTCGATGCGCTGGAGGCCGGCTACGGGAAATACAAGAACCCTTACCACAACCAGATACACGCCGCCGACGTCACCCAGACCGTACACTGCTTCCTGCTTCGCACCGGCATGGTGGTAAGAGCGCCCCGTGGTCTAGTCGCTTTTGGGGCTGTTCCCGTCCTCTGCGTCTTGAACTGGAGGGAAAAAACAATTCGAGATGGGGAATCGTGACAGTGGTCTGGGCTGTTAGTGTAGTGATAATGAACCGTGCTTGTGTACTGGCTGGGCTAAAGCACACGGTGCAGTCCTGGATCAGGAGAGGGAAGAGGGAAGGACAGGAGACAGATGCGTTTTCTGACCTCAAATCTTGTTCAAGGGGAAAAGAAAATATGGTCACGTCGGCAAACAGTACAGTGTCCCCTAGTGGCCTTCCCTGGTTTTGCACAACGCCCAAAGCTGGAGAAGACGCTGGGCAAAGAACCCTTAAGCTTGAGCCCCCCCCTTTAACTTCTAAAGGAGGCACTTTGTTTTTAACGTCCAACAGGTAGAAATTCAACCAGGGAAGCTTTCCCTGACATGAGTATATTGCAATGGGGGAACATTGCATATGCTGAATGAAAGTCCTTGTAGCTTTGAAGTTGTTAAAATCTTGTGTGGTAGACGAGAAGAAAAAGTAGCAGTCGACCTCCTCTTCCATCTTATTGAAGAGGCGATAAACAACATTCTACCATAGCTGAATTTATGCAAAAATAGAAGCCATGATCAGTTCCGGAGGGTTAGTTCTTGTTCGTTTTTTGGGTGGGGCCATGGCCTAGCGGCAGAGCGTCTGCTTTGCACGCACAGGGTCCCAGGTTCCATCGCTGGCACCTCCAGTTAAAAGGGGCAGATGTAAAAGTGACGTAAAAGACCCCTGCATGAGATGTGGGAGAGCTGCTGCCAGCCCGAATAGGCCAGACTGACGTTGATAGACCAACAGTCCAGACTTGGCATAAAGCCGCTTCTAGTCTGTTTGTGTTAGGCTGTTGCAGCAAAACATCTTGTAGCATGTGAGATGTTCCATGCATGGGCTGAGATTATTACTGACCTTTAGGAAACATGCGTAGCAGCTAGCCACTGTCCAAACTAGACTGAAATAGATGAGCTCCCTCCTACAGGTTTATTATCTAAAGCGGACTATGCTCCACAAAAGGTAATGCTGCAATTAATCTGCTGGTCTCTAAGCCCCACTGTATGGTGTGAAGGCAGGTGATCCAGTTGGCTGGCTGAAGCTACGGAAGTCTTGGTGGCCAAACTTCCTCAGTGTAAGAGCCACATAGAATAAACATCAGATGTTTGAGAGCCGCAAGAGATGAACAGATATTACACACATTTTTGTTTTTAAAATATGCACATTTGCTTTTTATTAACATTAAATGAGACTGCCAGAACAGATATTGATAATGATATTTATTAAAGGTAAAGGTTCCCTTGCACGAAAGCCAGTCGAATCCGACTCTAGGGTTGCGGTGCTCATCTCCGTTTCAAAGCCGAAGAGCCAGCGCTGTCCGAAGATGTTTCCGTGGTCATGTGGCCAGCATGACTAAACACCAAGGTGCACAGAACGCTGTTACCTTCCCACCGAAGTGGAGTAGGGATCCTAGAGGTCCCCTACTCCAACCCCCTTGCTCAGTGCGGGAATCAGTCAACTACCACAGACCCCTCTGCTTAAAGGAGCGCAAGCTTAAAAAAATGTTTTAAAATGATTGAAAAAAGCCTTTACAGGAGAAATTCTTGTGGGGCTTTGCATTTAAGAAAAGGGGACAGACCCCCAATAAGCCCCACTATAGCTATGGGCCTGCTTGGCACGCAAAAGGTCCCGCATTCAATCCGTGGCATCTCCCGTTTAAAAGGACCACGCAACAGGTGATGTGAAAGACCTCTGCCTGAGACCCTGGAGAACCTCTACCAGTCTTGAGTAGATGATACCGAAACGTGATGGACCAATGCCCTGATTCAGTATAAGACAGCTTCATGTATTTTTGTGTGCTTCCCTCCCCAGCACTGCCTGACAGAAATTGAGATCTTGGCCATTATCTTTGCAGCTGCAATCCACGACTATGAGCACACGGGTACCACCAACAGCTTCCACATCCAAACCAAGTAAGTACCGATGGTCTGTCGCAGTAAGCACCAAGAATAGGGGTAGGAATGTGCTTACCAGGTGGCATGCCCACAATCCGCCGATGTGGACACAGCTGTCCAGAGACCCAGGTTTTTCCAGGATCTTGAGGTCCAGTTCTTTGCATCTGCTTGTCACCAGAGTGGGTAGTGAGCCAGCCCTCCTTCCTGAAACACAAAACCATACTGTCAGATAGAGCGCTATGCCCATAAGGTTAATAAGAACATAAGAGATGCCAATGTTGGATCAGGCCAAAGGCCCATCCAGTCCAACACTCTGTATCACACAGTGGCCAGAAATACCAAGATGATAGAGCATCACTTGCCCCAGAGCCCCTATCTATACCTTGTGGCTAATAGCCACTGATAGACCTCTGCTCCATATGCTTATCTAATTCCCTTTTGAAGCCACAAATAATGTTCATATTATTTTGGCTTTCAGCTCACTAGCAGAAGGAGACCTGATGCATAGTGAACATGTGCTCTGTCTTTCAAAAATCTGGATCCGAGAGGGGCATGTTTACATTATTCATTTGCAAATCGTCTGTGCCGATACATACCGATTATGAACCGTAGCATCTCTCTCTTTCCTTGTCCAGAGCTTTCTCTTTGTACATGACGTTTTCTCTAACTCCTTACCTTCCAGTCCCATGGCAACAGAATGGAATTCTTCAGTAGAGCACTTTATAAAGGGAATAGGATTGTCATTTGATTTTACTGCTTATAGCTAGCATTATCTTTTTTTGTACTGCACTGTTTTCTAACTTTTGTAATCTAGTTTTTGCATTGATCAAGATGGGTAGTCATGTTTGTCTGTCTGTAGCAGTGAGCAAGAGTCTAGTAGCGCCTTAAAAACTAACAAAATTTGTGGGAGGGGATGAGTCACTCACGAAAGCTCCTACCTTGCCACAAATTTTGTGAGGTTTTAAGGTGCTACTGGACTCTTGTTCTTTTCCCGTATTTGCATTGTTTATTTATGTCACATTTTAGACTGGTGGTTTTTTAAAAATCTCCTTGGGCGTTGTGTATCACATACTGTTTGGATTGCATTGTTTTTAAATTTTGTAATCTGCCTTGAGTCTCATTGAGAAAGGCGGACTATAAATAAAAGAAATAATAATTTTTTTAAAAAAACTTTGGATTCCAGAAGAGCAAAGTTGTATCAGATAAAATATAAGGCTGTCAGTGAGGAATGAAAACAACCCAGAGGCCTCTGATGAGGAAAGAGCTATCAAATAAAAAGGAAAAAAAAGGTCAAAGGTTGCCAAATCAGCAAGTATCCATCACAAGTTTCCCAAGACAGGTCATCTCCTCGGTTGCCTCTCCATGGGGTTGTGTGGCATTGAAGCAATCCATCATTCCTTCTGGTACTTTCCTTATTGCTAGAAGCCGGAAGGTTTTGCTGGTAATGAAAGTAAAGTCTCTCCATAGTTCCTTTGCTATTTAATAGACCCACACCTTAGCTGTCAAAAGAAGATGGTGGTGGGGGGGGAATGATTATGGAATGGTCAAAACCACGTTGCGGGAAGTCACCTGTCGAGACTGCCCTGCTTGGGCAGGTCCCTTGGTCTCAGTAGAGATCAGCATGAACGAAGGCCTGGTCTACATGTGCAGTGGAGTGAGTGGACAGGGAGGTGGCAGGAGGTCGAGGTGGTAGAATGGACTGGCTCACTTCAGACTGCAGGTAAAGATGGGCCGTGGCTCAGCAGTAGAGCATCTGCTTGGCACGCAGGAAGTCCCAGGTTCAATCCCCAGCATCTCCAGTTAAAAAGGAGCAAGAACGAGCTGATAAGGAAGACATCCGCCTGAGACCCTGGAGAGCCATTGCCACTCTGAGTAGGCAGCACTGAGCAAGATACACTAGTGGTCCAATTTGGTGTAGTGGTCAGGAGCGGCAGGACTCTAATCTGGAGAACCGGGGCTGATTCCCCACTCCTCCACTTGCACGTGGCTGGATGACCTTGGGCAAGCCGTGGTTCTGATAAGAGCTGTTCGTGAAAAAGAGCAGTTTCTGTCAAGAGCTCTCTCAGCCCCACCTGCCTCACAGGGTCCCTGTTGCGGGGGTGGGGGGAGGAAGGCAAGGAGATTGTAAGCCGCTCTGAGGCACCTTTGGGTAGTGAAGGGCGGGGTATAAATCCAATCTCCTCCTCCTCCTCCACTCCTCCACATGCAGCCAGCTGGGTGACCTTGGGCCAGTCGCAGCTCTCTTGGAGTTCTCTTAGCCCCACCTACCTCACAGGGTCCCTGTTGCGGGGGTGGGGGGAGGAAGGCAAGGAGATTGTAAGCCGCTCTGTATCAATCCAGCTCTTCTTCTTCTTGAAATTTATTTATCCATACTTTCTCACCGAAGAGGGCCCAAAGTGGCTTACATCATTTCCCTCTATTTTACCTTCACTACAACCCTGTGGGGTTAGATTGGGCTGAGAATAGAATTGCCATCCTCCAGGTGGTGGCTGGAGGTCTTCTGCTAAACTGACCTCCCGGTGACAGGGATCAGTTCATCTGGAGAAAATGGCTGCTTTGGAAGGTGGACTCTGTACGGCATTGACATTCCTCCCCTCCCTAAACCTTCCTCAGGCTCCTCCCCCAAAATTCACAGGTATTTCCCAGCCCAGAGCCGGCAACCCTAGCTGAGAATATGTAACTGCCACAAGGTCACACCACAAGCATCCGTGGCAGAGTGAGAATTCGAACCTGGGTCTTCTATTCCGACACCTCGGTCACTAAAACACACTGTCTTCCAGAATTATGCTGTTCAAAGCTCTTCTTTGTTTATTATTCCCAGCCAGTGGAAAATTAGCACAGTATATGAAGAACTAGGCCAGAACTTCACTTCCGGATATGTTGTGTTTTTAATTGCCAGGAATTTTAATATAGGGATGCGTTTAAAATATGGTACTCCCACCTGCAGATTGAAATGGTTCAGCCCATTCAGAATTCTTTCATCTCATTTTGCCAGATGTCTAGACCAGGCTAAACATACCCTCTAAATTCAGACAGGGGTGACCAAATCAAATGGTATAAGGATGGAGCTGAATGAACGAGGCAGCTGAAAGACAATTGTACTTTAGCCAATAACACAGGCTGGCCCAGAGATCTGGCCTTAATTTCTCCCTCTAACTGGTGATTTAGTTTCTGTGTGAAGCTTTCTAATCAAACTGAACAAGTGCCTGTTTGCATGGCCTGGTTCTTGTTCTGATCAGTCCTACCAAAGATAGCAGCTAGGGCATCCTTGTGGTGTCATGGTTAAGGTCTTGCACTTGGATTGGACAAACCTGGGTTCAAACCCCCCCCGCCGTGAAACATTACAGATTGTCAGAGGTCAGGCAGAGCCAGTGTGCATTCCTTGAGGGTAGTATGGATCCAAATGTGAGAAGCCAAGTCAAGGGTTCAGTTCCAGAGTCCAGAGCCAAGAAAGTCGTTACCAAAGGGTTGTCCAAGAAGCGTAGTCAGGTAGTCCAAGAGTTTTACTCACAAGCAGAGATCACAGAGCTGAGAAGTGAGGTCAAGAGCCAGTTTGGGAGTCACATGAGCAAGGCAAGGTCACAGAGTCAGCCTCCCTTGGCTGGTTTTTATAGACATGTGCCTAAGGGTCATGCTTGCAGCCAGCTGCTTAGGAGTAATCCTGCAACTACTCAAGCAGCTGGCTTTGGGTCAGGAGGCGAGCACTTTGTCATCTCTCTTGTAGTTCTGCTCCTAGCTTCTGTCTGCAGTGCTCTAAGGGTGTGGGTGGTACTGGAGGGCTGGGAATGATTAGCTTAGTTTCACCTGTTGACTTGGGACTGGAGGGTGTTGGTGGCTCTATACCAGCTGTTGGCTATGAGTCCTAACAAGGTCTTCCTGCTTGCTGGCTTCTGCTAACTCAGAACTGGCTACACGGGGCTCCTCTTCTCCTGAGGAGTTCTTGCTGAGCCCTGACTGGCCAACGACACAGGATGACCTTAGGCCTGTCTCCCTCTTTCAACCAAACCTACCTCACAGGGTTGCTGTGAGGGTAAAACGGAGAAGGGGGGACATGTCTGCCTGGCTGAGCTCTAAGGAAGAAGGGTGGGATAGTAGATATAGACAAGTAACTGTTTCTTAGGTTTGGGGGTATGTGAAAAGTATGCAGTGCTTCACAGTTTCCTTATAATTTATAGAAATTAAAGAATAAAGGGGAGAACCGGAAATAGCATGCATTGCAATGCAAAATAAGACTATATGGTGTGAATGACCTCTCAAAAGTATGCTTTTCGTCTCCATCGCCCCAGGTCTGACACGGCCATTTTGTACAATGACCGCTCCGTGCTGGAGAATCACCATATCAGCGCCGTCTTCCGCATGATGCAGGAGGAGGAGATGAATGTCCTCGTCAACTTGAACAAGGACGAGTTCATGTGAGACCCTGCCCTCTTCCAGTCTCCTGCTTCCATCCCAAGGACAGGGCTTACTCTAGCTCAGGGGTCCCCAACGTGATGCCAAGTGGGGCTCTTGCCCAGCACGGCTTCTGGCTGGCTGTGCAGATTAAAATAATGTCGTTTGGGCGGCAGCTGCTACCCCAGTGATGGTTTTGTTTTCTCTCACATTCCTCTTTCCTAGCATACATTTTAAAAAATTACTCCTCTTATTCCCTGCATTTGGGCTTCCTCTGTGTCTATGGCTCTGCCTCCTGCAGTGGCCATGTTGTGGTTGGCTCCACCCCCTGTGGCGGCCATGTTGTGGTTGGCTCCACCCCCTGTGGCAGCCATTTTGTCGTTTCGCCCACCACCTAATGTCAGCATTCCAAGGGTTCCCATAAGCTTTAAAAGGTTGGGGACCTCTGCTCTAGCTGAAGAAGACATTACCTTGCTCTAGGGAGGTGGTGATGGTAGTGGGGTCTTGAAAGAACTCAGAAGTTGCAGGGGAGTCAGGCAGATCACTTTGCAAGTGCTTATTAGTCCATGTGAGTGGGGTACGGTGGGGCTCAGTGGCCACTTTGGTTTTATTTAAGCCCCAGGTTCAGTCCCATAAAGGGATCAAGTAGAAGAAGGTGATGCGGAAGACCTCTGTCCAGTACCCTGAAGAGCTCCTGCCGGTCTGAGTACCGACCTTGATAGACCAAGGGTCTGACTCAGCAGAGGGCATCGTTGTCTTGTGTTCAGATGTTGCCTCATAGCAGATGATAGACTGAGCTCTTCACCCAATCACCTGATCTAGGTACTCCACCCTGATCACGTTAGAAGAAGAGTGGGGCTACGAGACGGAAGACCAGATGGGTGATTGAAACCTTCTCCCCTTTGCCACAAACCCACTAGCGACCTCCCAAAAGTCACTCAACCTCAGTCCCCTCTCTGCAACATGGGGCAGCACTCTGCTGACCTACTTTACAGGGTTGTTGTAAGGAGCACAATAAGATAATGCATACGAAATTCTTGGAGCATTTGGGAGTACAGTATAAATGTTAAATGATATTATTTTCCATCACAGGGCTAGCCTTGTTGTCCGTATACATTAGATACGGACCTGGCAATTTGCATTGGGTCTCGCAGGAATATCCCTCAAATGCTAAAATAGGTCAGCAAGAAGCTTTGAACTGATCACCTCGATAAGCCTATATAGAAAGAATCGAGAGAATACCTTTTATTGAACTTACTGGAACTTGGAGCATTAAGTGTCAGCTTCTGAGTGCTACAGAATTCTTCTTCAGATTGACCAGAGCAGAGTTGGCTAGCTGGCATGACATTTCTCTGTCTGAACTCACTGCACTTCAGAACAAAGAAATGGGATGGAGATTTTCAAACTTCCGCTAGCCCTGTGCATGTGACACTATGAGTAGAGGGCCAGTGAGCATAGAGAAGGAAGGGGGACCAAGCAAGCTGGTCCTGCCCCCCCCCCCGGTGAATGAGCCCTCTGGCTCCACCTATGCCTATGCACATTCACTCCAGTGTGTGCACAATGCTTACATGGATACATACTCAATGCATGAAACAGTGCTGGGCATGTTTCAGAACAGTGCTCCTAGTCACGGGGATAGAATTTGCACTGTAAGGATGGCGTTTGTACTGCAGCCACACAAGGTAAATGTGCATAGGAGGCGCCACTAAAACACTCAGCCTTGGTCTGTGCATGCTGGCTCTGGATAGACACATGTCTCATGCAATGCTCCTTCTAAGCTGTGGAGTCTTGTGAGTAAAATTTCTACTTTGTGAGCTACTGGCATTAAAGTTGTGAGCGAGCAATTAGTCTGCTCTGGAGCCATCCCTTCCTGAGCGAAGACAAAAATGTGTGAGCCGGAGGCTAAAAAACTGTGAGCTAGCTCACTCTAACTCAGCTTAGAGGGAACATTGGTCTCATGTATAATGTGAAACAGATTAAAGTTGCTAAGGTATTTCTGGGAGGACTGAACCTCCAGAGGTTTCGCCCAGAGGCAGGGCAGTCATTGCAAAAGGTACATCGTCTTGGGGACCATGCCGCTCAGCACAGCAGGAAGGGATTGGTGTGACCGTAGTGGGAGGGAAGGCGGCATGGCTTAGTCCCGTCTCGTCAGATCTCAGAAACTAAGCGGGGTTGGTACTTTGACGAGAGAGCACCGAGGACTTCAGGCCACTGCAAACCACCTCTGCTTCTGCCTTGTCTTGAAAGCCCCTTGTTCGGGGTGCCAGAAGTCGGTTACGACTTGGCAGCAGGCAACTAGAATGCCATTTGAGTCCTTTGACTTCTTTGGGAGGCAAGGGAAAGCCATTCTGTTAACCAAGCCACAGCTTGCTTTGGAAGGCATTGCTTCTCTTGGTGTTCCGCCATGTTGGAACGGCGCTGATCTCTCAGGTTCGTGGAGGTCTTCGGTGACATCTGATGCAAATCTGGCCAAATCTGCGGCTTCTTTCCATCCACTCCATGTGCTGGGGCTTCTCTCAAATCTACAGCAGATGTACCGAGGTACCTATGCAGGGAGTTTAGATGCAGGAAAAGGACCACAAGTTTGAGCATCTTTCTCTCTCCCTGTTCGTGCATCACAGGGAACTCCGGTCGCTTGTGATTGAAATGGTTCTGGCGACGGACATGTCCTGCCACTTCCAGCAAGTCAAGTCTGTGAAAACCTCCATTCAGCAGCTGGAACGGTAAGTCTAACGTAACATCCAAATCACAAGATGTGATAGTCCCACTGTACGCTACATTGGTCATGCCGCACTTGGGGTACTGTGTGCAGTTCTGGAGGCCTCACTTCAAAAAGGATGTGGACTGAATGGGGTGGGTGTAGAGGAGAGCGATGAGGATGATTGGGTGTCCTGGAGACCAAGCCCTGTGAGGAGAGGCTGAGGGACTTGGGAATGTACATTGATGCTTGGCTGGGAAGGAGATAGGGTTGCCAACTCCAGGTAGAGGCTGCAGGTGGAGGGGGGAGATGGAAAGCTGAACAGTGAGGGGGAAATGAAGGTACATTGATGCTTGGCTCGGAAGGTGACAGGGTTGCCAACTCCAGGTAGAGGCTACAGAGATAGGGTTGCCAACTCCAGGTAGAGGCTGCAGGTGGAGGGGGGAGATGGAAAGCTGAACAGTGAGGGGGAAATGAAGGTACACTGATGCTTGGCTCGGAAGGCGATAGGGTTGCCAACTCCAGGTAGAGGCTACAGGTGGGGGGGATGGACAGCTGATCAGTGAGGGGGAAATGAAAGTAGGTTTATGCTTGGCTGGGAAGAAGATAGGGTTGCCGACTCCAGGTAGAAAATTCTTGGAGATTTGAGGGATGGAGCCTGGAAAGGGTGAGGTTTGAGGAGCGATGGGACCTCAGACAGGTACAGTGCCATAGACGCTGCCCTCCAAACCAGTCATTCTCTCATGGGGAACCACTGTTGCCAAAATCCAGCTGAGGGTTGGAGATCACTCAGAATTCCAACTGGTCTCCAGATGGCATTGTTCAGTTCCCCTGGAGAAAATGGTGGACTCTGTGTCCTTATACTTTGCTGAGTTGGCCCCCCCTATGACAGCCAAGGTTATGTGGCAGTCAGGGCTTAAGAGCATGGTGGGGGCTGCTGGTGGGGGGGAGATGGACAGCTGATCAGTGAGGGGGAAATGAAGGTAAGTTGATGCTTGGCTGGGAAGAAGATAGGGTTGCCAACTCCAGGTGGGAAATTCCTGGAGATTTGAGAGATGGAGCCTGGAGAGAGTGAGGTTTGAGGAGGAGTGGGGCCTCAGATAGGTACAACGCCATAGATTCTGCCCTCCAAAGCAGCCATTCCGTAATGGGGAACCACTGTTGCCAGTCTCCAGGTGAGGGCTGGAGATCACTCAGAATTACAAATGGTCTCCAGATGGCATTGATCCGTTCCCCTGGAGAAAATGGTGGACTCTGTGTCCTTATATCCTGCTGAGGTTGCCATGGCAAATTGATGCTGAGTGCCCACGGCCTTGGCACTCTCCCAGAACCTCTTTCTAGAGCTCATTGTATTTATTTCCACAATGGGCCTTATTCCTAGTTAGATATATTGATGATGTAAAAACAATAGGTTGGATCCTACAGGCTTTTCTGCTCTTTACCACATTCCCCCTTTTCTTGTGGCCTTTACCCCCATTGGTTTCACGATTCCCAGCATAACATTTTCTGTGGTTCAGTGAGTCCCCTCCTCTCTCTTTCACAAGTGGAAAAACTGGTAGGATCCAATATCCCATCTATTTTAATACTAACCATTTATTTACAAAATTAAAAATCTGCATAGCTCAAAAGGAGCACAACTTTGGGAAATAACTTTTCTTCATAAGCACTCGAGCTGTCTGGGTGAAATCGGTTAGCCTTTGCGTAACTACGGTGTCCCAGCATTAACTTGTGCTTCGCGTAAATTGGATCCTCAGCGTTTTCCCAGCATGGAGCTCTATGTAGCACTGCGTTTACTACCAAATTAATTAAATGGGCTTGTAAATATAAAATTTCACAGCTGCCACCGAACAAAATTAATTTGGGGGACTGGGGGAGTGTGGCGCCGGGGGATCTTTAAAAATCTCCACTGCCTTTAATTTAATTTTATTTTTTGGCCAAGATTCCCGAACCGTATTTACAAGACTCCCCCCTGTAATCGAAGCCATGCATTTCTGTGAAGGACATAAAAATTTTTATGGTGTTGCTGCCCCGTGCACATTACAAGAAAGCGAAGGACCGTGACTAAGCTGTCCCTTGAGGGTGTCTTTCAGGAAGTGAGTTTGTTCCCCGGTGCTTCCTCCCGCCCCAGTCAGTGACCTCGTGTTCATCTGCGCACACTGGGCTCCGTACCTGTGAAGGGTTTAATGCTCAACTCAACGTTGGTGAGCTCTGATCTTCTGCAAAAGGGGGCCGAGCATTCCACAAGACGAGAATGCAGAGAGAGAGAGAGAGAGAAATTGACCATCCCTCCGATAGGGGCTAGCTATGCAGGCCTGATCAGTTGTCTTCTGATGACTCATTTAAAGCGGGGCTGAGCGGAATCTGCTTACATAATTTCCTGTCCAGTACTCTGAATATGGAGAATGCCCCCCTCCCCTTGCAGTCATTTTTGTAGGGTTGCCAGATTGCCCCGGCCCTGGCAAGGGATGAGGGAAGGTAGGGTTGCCAGATCCAGGCTGGGAAACTCCTGGAGATTTAGGGGTAGATCCTGCGGAGGACAGGGACCTCCATGGGATACAATGCCACAGAGTCCACCTTCCAAAGCCTCCATTTTCTCCTAGGGAACTGGTCTCTGTAGTCTGGAGATGAGGTGTAATTGCAGGAGATGCCCAGGCCCTGCCTGGAGGCTGGCATCCCCAAGTTTTTGGCACACTGCAAATACAGTCATGTTGTTTTGATACTGTTCTTCTTTCTTGCTCTCACTGCCCCTTGACCTCATTGACCCTTACTGCCATTTTATTATATTGGTGGTGGTTACCCACGTGCCTGTGTGTTTGATGTAGTCATGCCCATATACTTTGTTTAGAACTCTGCTGCACGCTCTCATATCAAGAACCAGTGTGGTGCAGTGGTTAGAGTGTTGGACTAGGATCTCAGATACGCAGGTTCGAATCCCCACTCATGCCACGGAAGCTCGCTGGATGACCTTGGGCCAATTACACTCTCTCAGCCTAACCTACCTCACAGAGTTGTTGTGATGATAAAACGGAGGAGAGGAGAACGGTAGACACTGTGTTGGGACCTCCTTGAAGAGAAAGGTGGGGAATAAATAAAATAAATAAATATCCTTCTGATTTGATTTTGAACAGACATTCAGTATTTCCCAAGGAGTGTAGTCGAAACTGTTCCCCAAGCTTCCTTTTGTTAGATCAGGATGGGTAGCCGTGTTGGTCTGTAGCTGTAGAAAAGAGCAAGAGTCCAGTAGCACTGGTTGCGAAGAGTCTGACTCGTCTGTGCGACTGAACAACAGAAAGGAGCTTTCGTGAGTCACTGCTCTGTATAGACCAGGGGGAACCCCACTCCGACGTGCGCGTCACCCGGAAGTGACACGACCACGCCGGGCACACTGGGGGCGGGGCCACGGTCATCCGAGGGAAAACTCTATGGTTTTCCCTCAGATGGTCGTGGCCCCACCCCCAGCGTACCTGGCGTCGTCACATCACTTCTGGGTGACACGCACGTCAGGGTGGGGTTCCCCCCGGGGGCCGCGCTCCAGACGCCGGACGGGAGTCCCCCGCTCCGGAGGAATTTACACTTGGCAGCCCTAGCTCTGTATCTGAAGCAGTGAGCAGTGACTCACGAAAGCTCCTCCCCTGCCACATATTTTGTTAGTCTTTAAGGTGCGACTGGACTCTTGCTCTTTTCTACTCCTTTCGCTGTGAGTCAGAACTGTTCCCCAAACCTCCTTTCATTGTGAGAACAATCACCGTGTGTAATTCGGTGTGTTCCCCCCTCCCCTGATAACTGTTTTGGTACGTTCTCTCTCTCTCTCTCTTCTGTTTAAAGCTTCTTCTTTTTTGCTTCCTGCATAATTCTTGTGGCTGATCCCAGCTGACTGGGGAATTTGCACTGAAAACAGTGATGTCACAGTGCTGCAATGTAGCCAGTCAAATTTAGCAAGGTCAGAGCGAACAAAAGGCAATCCAAAGCGAGGGCAGTGCTGCCTAAACCTTTTTCAGAACAACTGCTGAAGAATTTGCAGAGAGCCATTTGTTTGTGCACACCCACCTTTTGACAGTGTAGGAAATGTTAACGGAAGAAAGGGAGTCAGTCGTTTTGCTCAGCCCTCCTTCTCTTTGGAAGGCTGTCTTTGTAGGCAGGCCCTGTGCTTGTGTTCCGGCGAAGGCGCTGTGGGGAAGGAAGACGTACTTTTGGGGTTCTGCAGGAAAGTGCAGGCTTTTTGGGAAGTAGGGCAGGCCTCTGCTGTCAGTTGTGCACTGGTGCAGTATCTATGAATGGAGCTGCCACTCGTAGGGTACTGCCAGGCTCCTGCTGGGGGGTGGAAAATCCCCCACCCCTAGCTGCCACCCTCTGCTATCGATCAGCTGGTCGGCAGGGGGACTTACAGGCAGTAGGGCAGCATCACAGCAACCTCACCAGTGAGGCAGTGATACCACTTCCAGTGCACACCAGAAGTGACATCATCACATCACCAATGACACAGGACTGTCTGGTATTTGGGCAAAAACTCTAGGGTAAAAAAGGCACCCACCGTCGAGTTTTTGCTCAGATACCAGAGTGTCATGCATCGCTGTGTTGACATCACTTCTGGTGTGCGCTCCTCATCCCTATTTTTTCTTCTTTAGATGCAGTCTGGAGCCAATAGTATGTAATGACATACTACATATTACATACTATTGGCTCCAGACGGCTTCTTTCGTTTGGAGGGGGGGGCAGCAGAGGAAGGCACACAACTGAATTACCATTCAAGACATGAGTACCTGACCGGGGCAGTAGGTTATTTAAAATGGGGCCTCTGCATTATATCCTTGCCATAGGTCACAGGTATTGATTCTAAAACAATTTCAACTTGGTCTAAGTTTAAGAAGTAACTGTATTATTATTGTAATGTCTGCAGCCCTTGTGTAAGAACATTGTTTGACCACTGAAGAAGGCCAGTTGGCCGAAACATGCTTGGTCGGGGTCAGAAATCATCTATGTTTGAGATAATTGAACTATTTGATTCTGATTTGAGGCTACTATTTGGGCCTACATTTGTTTTTTTTATCTAATCTGTCATAAATACATGTATTTTTGTGTATTTGGTAACATTTATATATTAAATTTAGATATAGTCCCCCACCCCTCTTTTGTCTTTTGTTGTGAATGGCAAGTAGCATGTATTGTCCTACTGGGGAGGAGGGATTATGCTTGAGTCATGGTCTTACCGCTGCACCGCTGCCTTTTCAGGATCGACAAGGCAAAAGCTCTTTCCTTGCTGCTGCACGCAGCCGACATCAGCCACCCCACCAAGCAATGGACGGTGCATTCCCGATGGACCAAGGCGCTCATGGAAGAGTTCTTCCGACAGGTATCTCTGGCAATAGTAGCAATTTGGAAACCTATCAATCCGTTTTATGCTCGGGAAGTAGCATTCATGCACCAAAGGTAGACATGTATCGACTGCACCGGTGTGTGAGTCACAACTCTTCCCTTCAAAATATTTTGCAAGTGAGGAGGGGGTTTCCGGCCTCTCCCCCGCTGAAAGTGTTTTGAAAGGCAAACCTATGATGTATGGTTGCATGTCCCTTTTATATGGAACACTGCACACATACCTGTGGGAGTGCCAGATTATTTTGTGAGATGCACCACTTGGAGCAGTGGTTCCCAGCCTTTTCTGTATGGTGACCCACAAGTCCAAATTGACTTGTGGGAAAGGCAAACCTATGATGTACGGTTGCGTGTCCCTTTTATATGGAACACTGCACACAGACCTGTGGGAGGGCCAGATTATTTTGTGAGATGCACCACTTGGAGCAGTGGTTCCCGGCCTTTTCTGTATGGTGACCCACAAGTCCAAATTGACTTGGTAGAGTGACCCATCCAAGACTGGCCCAAGGATTTTTTGAGGGGTGCTAAGCAAACTAAAAAAGGAGCTGCGGTGGCTCAAGTGGTTCAGGCGCTAAACTGCAGGCTGTGGAAGGTCGGTAGTTCAGCAGTTCGAGACCCCGAGTTGCCGCATGACGGAGTGAGCTCCCGTCTCTAGTTCCAGCTCCTGCCAACCCAGCAGTTCGAAAGCAGGAAATTGCAAGTAGAGAAATAGGTACCACTTCGGTGGGACGGTAACAGCGTTCCGTGCGCCTTGGTGTTTAGTCATGCCGGCCACATGACCACGGAAACGTCTTCGGACAGCGCTGGCTCTTCGGCTTGGAAACGGAGATGAGCAACGCAACCCTAGAGTCGGACTCGACTGGCTTTCGAGCAAGGGAACCTTTACCTTTACCTTTTAAGCAAACTATGACCTTGACAACCACCTAGCACAGCATTCCATTTTCTGCAGTAGCTAGCCAGGTGATTTTGAGAAACCAGTGAACACAAAGGGTGCCGCTGCCTCCGCTATAAACCTGAAGCTAGTGGCATTCCGATAATGCAGCCTTTGCATCTGGAGGTTACATTCTAGCCTTTGACCACCCTCTCCTTTTCCTTTACACCCGCTAATCCTTCCTAAGGATCTTAGAAGCTCACTCTAGTAACCATCAGGACACAGTTTATTTGACCAATTTGTCAAATTGGTTTTGATATTATGGCTAAGAGCTGTTTGTGAGTAACTTCAAAACGCATAGGAACAAAGGAAAGTCCAATTTGGAAGATTCGTGATCATGTGGATGCACAGCTGAGGTCTTATGTATGAAAAAGACACCTCTAACCAAATGTTAACTCCGGGGGGCTCCGGGGGAGTTCGTCCAGTTTCATCTGCTGACGTCTTCATTTCATCTTGTGACGTCCTTATTTTCTGTAAAATAAGCGTACAATGGATTGGATTCAATATTGCTGCATTTATTCAAATTAGAATTTGCATGATTTGCACTATTTGCAGTAGTTCTATTGTGTTGGTTTATGTCATACTGCAACCCCCTTCATTTGCTGTGGCAATTTGTATATGCAGCAAAGAAAAAAAATACTAACTAAAGTATGACATGGAAGATACTGTTTCCAGATCTTGATTTCCAAGATACAAAAGAAAGCAGTGGAAAGGGCAGAGGCGACCATCAGGGAGTGCTGGCCTGAGACCCACTTCCAGAAGCTTTGCAACAAATGCTCCTTCTAAGCCGTGGGTCTTGTGAGCAAAAATTCTACTTTGTGAGCCACTGGCATTAAAGCTGTGAGCGAGCGATTGGTTTGCTCTGGAGCCATCCTTCCTGAGAGAAGACAATAATGGGTGAGCCAGAGGCTAAAAAACGTGAGCTAGCTCACACAGACTGAGTTTAGAGGGATCACTGTTTGCAACCCATTTTTGGGTCCCGACTGGGCCGGCTCACTCACTAGGCGAACTAGGCGATCGCTTAGAGCGGGACGGCCCTTAGGGGCACCAAACTGCACCCGGCCCCATACTCTGGGAGTTTCTTGATTATTTGTGTTTTTCATTCTTCCTAAAATGCATTTATTTTTGAAAATTGGTGGGCGCACGGGGGGATAAGGGATCCTCGCCTAGGGTGCAAAATAAGCTGGAGCCGGCCCTGGGTCCCGACAGACAGGTTGGGAAACACTGGCTTAGAGGATGCTGGTGGAAGTGTTTTGTGTGCAGATGAACTCGGGTTCAGCTGGAGAGGCTTTGTTGCGTAAAGAGCGACCAGGCATTTGATTACCGCAAGCTTCGTCCTAAAGATCCCTAGGCAATTCTATTTAGCAGAAATTTCTCATACCTTCTCATTTCCCCCCTCCCCTGCAGCCACGAGGACTAGAACCTGGGGGAAAAATAGAATTAAGATTCTCAGGATTCCACACCCCCTTCAGAACTTTCCCTTAGAGGGCGTAGGCTATCTTCCGCAACATGAGTGCAACCATGAGTGCTCCTACACGTTGTCCAAACATGACCCTCCACACCATGAGCTGTGTCTTTGTATCCCAGGATCACCTGGCTTAGCTCAGTCAGAGGCTAGAGGGAATCCATCTTTTGATACCAGGCTAACACATGCAGGAAGGAGCTTGGCAGCCGCGAGAATTCTGGGGCACCTTAATCGAGGTTCTGTGGTGTGACCTTCCAAAACGCCTCATGTCCTGGCAGCAAGCCAGCACTGGCCCATCTTTGCGGGCCAATCAGCTACCTTCTCAGAATCCCCTAGACAATGCAGACTTTGCTGGAAACGGGATTAAATGCTTGGGAAGAAACATCTACCCATCTCCTCCTGGCCATTTGCATTGACAGGGCAAAGCTGCCCATGCAACAGACTTTCCAGATTTTATTTTTTTATTTGTTAAACTTGATTTTAGACCACCCTTCCCCGGAGAGACCGGGCTTAGGGCGGCGTACAACATAACATCATATAAGCATTACTAAAAGCAAATTAAAACCAATAAAATACAGCAATGGCCAGTGATGGCGTTAAAATTTTCCTGATGGTGTCATGGGCAACGCTCCCTCTAAGGTGTGGAGTCTTGTGAGCAAAAATTCTACTTTGTGAGCCACTGGCATTAAAGTTGTGAGCGAGCGATTTGGCTACTGCATAAATTAGTCTGCTCTGTCCCTTCCTGAGCCAAGACAAAAATCTGTGAGCCGGAGGCTAAAAAACTGTGAGCTAGCTCACACTAACTCAGCTTAGAGGGAACACTCTCAGGGATTTTAGCTTCCAGCTCACAGGCATTTTCCCTCCATTGAAAAGGGGAGGGGGCAGACCTCTGAAGGCCAGGTCTACCAATATAGTGGAAAGGGACAAAAAATGTGTGAGCTGGAGGCTAAAAAACTGTGAGCTAGCTCACACTAACTCAGCTTAGAGGGAACACTGGTCATGGGCCTCACAGGGAGGCAGGGGGTGTGAGTGCCAGCCAGATGGAAACCGTCACTGTCCTCAACCAAATGCCAGGCAGAACATCTCTGCCTTACAGGCCCTGCGGAGCTGTATCAGGTCCCGCAGGGCACAGGTGTTATTCGCAGGGCTTTTTTTGTAGAAAAAGCCCAGCAGGAACTCATTAGCATAACAGGCCACAACCAACGGCAGAAATTCATTAGCATAGTAGGCCACACCCCTGACAGCACAGCACATTAGCATAGTAGGCCACACCCCCATGCCACCAGAAGTGTGGTCATCCAGCCACGCCCACCTTTTGCTTCTTCTTCTGTTTGCCTTGTTTGTTGTCAAAACCCAGGGGTTTTTTTGTAGCAGGAACCTTTTGCATGTTAGGCCACACAGCCCGCATGTAGCCAATCCTAATGAGTTTCTGCTGTTGGGTGTGGCCTATTATGCTAATGAGTTCCTGCTGGGCGTGGCCAACTCAGGAGCCAGCCGGAACTCCGTTCCTGTGCGTTCCTGCCCAAAAATAGCCCTGGTTATTCGGCAGAGAGCTCCACCAGGTGGGGACCAGGGTGGAGAACGCCCTGGCTCTGGTTGAGGACAGCTGGATAGATATCTCAGGCCGGGGACCTCTGGGATTCAAGTTCAGGTTCTGCATAAATACACGAGGCTGCTTATATATTCATGCTCTGACTGGTGGTCCCCTTGGGTTAAGTTTGCTGGGCTTGTCTGTTTCCAAGGGCTGGTTCTGATGTTGCCTTGTTTGCTCCAGGGGGACAAAGAGGCTGAGCTGGGACTGCCCTTCTCCCCACTGTGTGATCGTACCTCCACGCTGGTGGCCCAGTCGCAGATAGGTGAGTGGCATGCCAGGAGGCTGCCTTTTGTATTGGGACTTTTCCTGCCTGCGTGCCGTTCCGCTCATGTAGCCAGGAGGGGCTGCTGGCTAGTCCTGACTTTTCACTGGCACGTTTTTCAATTCTTTACAAATGAATACATGTATTTTTATATATGATGGTCCCATATATGTTTTTTAATTCTTTACAAATAAATACATGTATTTTTATATATTATATATGTTAAGTTTTAATTGTTGGCCCTCTGTTCTGTTCGACTTACCTTTTTAGGTTCCTTGATCCTAGGTTTCAGGGTTAAGTTTGGTGTCGTGGTTAAGTGCGAGGACTCTAATCTGGGAGAACTGGGTTTGATTCCCCACTCCTCCACTTGCACCTGCTGGATAACCTTAGGCAAGCCGTGGTTCTGATAAGAGCTGTTCTTGAAAAAGAGCAGTTTCTGTCAAGAGTTCTCTCAGCCCCACCCACCTCACAGGGTGTCTGTTGTGGGGAGGGGGAGGGAAAGGAGTTTGTAAGCCACTCTGAGACTTCTTTGGATAGTGAAGGGCGGGGTCCACTCTCCTCCTCCTCCTCCTCCTCTTCTTCGTTTTTTTCCCTTTTTTGCATCCTGTCACAACCCACCACACTAGGGGGAAATCTCCTCTCTCCCCCAGCACGTGATCCACTGTGCACACAGGGGTAGGGGTACCCATCAGTTGGTTGCTAATGCCCCTCCCCATCTGCAGGTTTCATTGATTTCATCGTGGAGCCCACCTTTGCAGTTCTGACCGATGTGGCGGAGAAGATGGTCATTCCCTTGGTGGAGGAAGGCTCCAAGAACAAGACCTCTGCCCAACAGAGCAGGTTTGATGATGGCAAAGGGAGGGGAGGAATAATAATAATTATCATATGGCAGTGTGTGTAGTGTAGCCAGGAGATCCTAAGATTGTCTGGCAGTTTGAAGTTTTAGCTCTTTTAGTATTAGGCACCACTAGGTGGCAAGCTAGACCTTTTTTTTTTTAGCATGGCTAGGCAGTGCGATTTGACCTCCAGAAGAGAAGTATGGCTGCCATGAAATTCTCATCAGTGATGCAGGACAGGGAATTTTTCAGAATTTCCCCCCCCCCCCAGTGCTGTATTTTTCCATGGGAAAAAATCCACCCCACATACTTAAATCTAGTTTGCTTATCTATATCTGTTTTATTTTACAAAATTTATATCCCATCCTTCTGCCCTCACAAGGCCCACCAAGACAGCTGATAAATTAAAACCTACATTCTAAAATCACATTTTAAAATCCTTAAAACCAACTAGTTATAGTTGGCTGGCATGTTGTTCTGCAAATCAGTCATTGGTAGATGGGCTAAATTTGGGATATGAAGCATGGACAAACGCCAGTGCTTGTATGTGGTCCAGGTTTGTACATGATGCATTTTGCCTTCTTTCGCTGACATTATTTAACTTTGGTTTTCCTTATTTAAAATTCGTTTTTAATCAATTAATTTACAAAATTCATATCCCGACTTTCTGCCCTTAGAAGAGCTACCAAAGCGGCTAACAATTTAAAACATATAAGATATAATTACATTATGAAACCATTAAAAATCACTCCCCCCCCCCACTTACACGGTTTAATTAAAAAAGTTAAATTATTTAAATTTGAATTGGAAAACATTCTGGAATGTTTTCCAATTCGTATTTTCCCAGAAAACCCACAGTACTGATTAATCTCAACATTTCCTCTGTTACGTGAAGCTGCCATATACTGAACCAGACACCGGGTCCATCAAGGTCAGTATTGCCTACTTAGACCACAGCAGTGGCTCTCCAGGATCTCAGGCAGAGGGTCTCAGGCAGATCTTTTAACTGGAGATGCCGGGGATTGAACCTGAGACCTTCTGCGTGCCAAGCGGATGGTCTCCCACTGAGCTACGGCCCCTTCCTGTTTTGCTATGCTGGTGTGTTACCAGGTAATGCAAGCCAAGGTGGGGCTAAGCCAGGGTTAGGCAACCACTTTGGCTAGAGGGCTGGAAACAACCCCCAGTGTCTACACAGGAACGTCAAGCCCCATCAGTACTGCGAGCACCTTGGGGGCTGACCTCAGACCGGGTATGGAAGGTGATGATGGGCGGTAAGCCCTGTGTGTCGTCTCAGGGCCGGTTCCAGGTGTGTGGGGTCCCTGGGCAGAGAATGGCCAGGGGACTCTTGTACTCACTACCAGCTTTCCCTTCGTGCTTACCTACCTGTCCCCTCACATGCCTGTGTATCTTTCCCTCTCCCATTTGCAAGCTCTCTCACTGCCTGTGATCACAGCTGCCCACACCACCTATATTGTACTGGTGGTGGATGCAGCTAGAAGTGCCACTGTTATGGCCACTAGGCTCCACCCACACGCACACCGCCCACATGCGCAGCACCCAAACGCCCTTCCCTGGCAGTGCGAGGCAGCTGGGATCATGGGTGACAAAGCACTCGAAAGCAGTCAGGGAAGGGCGTGAATGGGAGTGTCGGGCGATGAACGGGTGTCAGCATCAGCGGGCCCCACCAGAAGTCCTGGTCCCCAGGCAGCTGCCCCACCTCACCGTTTGCTGACACCAGCCTTTTTTATCTTCTGGTGTGATGTAAGCCTTAGCAGTGCTGCTAGTTTCTCAGGGGCCCGCCTCGGTTGCCCAGGTGGCGATCCAATCCTGTGCTCCGAGGGAAACGATTGTCCGATCCCACCGCTATCAATCCAATACACGTTTGAAGCAAAGTAATATGTATTGAAGCTATGATGATACTGGAACAAGTGCACTGTTTAGAATAACCAGAACAACCAGGGCAAAGTATAATAAAGCAAATTCATAAAGACAGTAACCAATAGACTTGGTTCCCACTCGGGCGGTTAGGCTGTCGGACTCGCGCCCAAAGCCTGGGAAGCAATGGCTTTCTAAATGATAAACAATTATAGTTCTCTCACACTCTAGTTCATTATAGACTAAGCGAAGCCGACTCTCCACCACCTGTGACCTTGCTGATTACAATAGTGCAAAGCAGCATTAGCGTACAGTAAAAGGAATGCATGAGACAAGAGAGTGCGCGCGTTAGAGTTACAATAGACATGTGCAGTTGCATACCACCATACGGGGGGGGGGGGAACCCCAAGGAATGAACTTCAAACATATGCAGAATTCTTTGGCAGCTTGCTGACAACGATTTGGCTGGCCACTGTTGGGCATGCAGACTGGGTGGAAGGCATAGCCCCCGGACTCGACAGATAGGAGTGAGCCTGATGCTCACTGATTAAGGTGACCGGAGGCAGAAAGCGAGGGTAGACCCAAGTCATCCCTGAGCAGATTCCTTTATTTCTCTCGTGTAAGTGAATAACGGCCATTCATCCCTACAAAGAGATGTCAAGCGTTGCCCTTGGGGGGCACTGTTACGGTGAAGGTTTATGCTGCCTGCCCCCCCCCCTTTCTGGCACTGGTTGACAGACCCTTTACAGGTGGGGATTTTTTAAATATTCCAGTGACTCGGTGGTCTTGAACAGAACTGATCATACACAGGGCTATTTTGGGGCAGGAACGGAATTCCGGTTGGCTTCAGAGTTGGCCACACCCACTACAGCCAAAACCTCTGCGTGCGTGGCTACAGAGGGAAGGCCTGGAGAGCGAAACCCCCCCATGCGACTCCAAGGCAGGTGGGCCGGGGGGGGGGGACGGGAAGGATCGGGGAGGCATTTAAATGCCTCCCCGGCCTGTCCAAGAACTGGCTTGCCCGGGCTCCCTGCAGCTGTGGGGCGCTCGGACAAGGCAAGGGAAGGCACGGGGTGTGGCCTAATATGCTAATGAGCTGCACTGTTGGGGGTGTGGCCTGATATGCTAATGGGTATCTGCTGCTGGGTGTGGCCTATTATGCTAATAAGCTCCTGCTGAGCTTTTTCTACAAAAAAAAGCCCTGATCGTACAGATAACACCCTCCGTTTCCACCCTTACATCGAAGCCACTGCTGCCAGGCATGTCAGCTGCAGCCACAGTAATACCAGGATCAGAATCGGCTAGCTGGGAGAACAGAGAAACAAGGGAAACCTTGGAAACTGTGTGTGCACTACGCTCAAGCGGCCAACATTACTGGAAGTCTCTGGCCTAAAGAGTGTCCGGCGATCCTCAACCAGAGCCAGGGCACTTTCTGCCTACTAGCATCAGGGCCCTGCGGGATCCGTTACAATCTCGGAGGGCCTGCAAAGCAGAGACATTCCGCCCAGGATACAGTTGAGGACAGCAATGCGTTTTTAATGGCTAACAACTCTAACAACTATCTGCTCTACTACCTGCTTCCACCCCCCCTCCCCATTGCTGATATAAATTGGGGGCTAGGATTGGATTAGGGTGCCATGTGTTTTTTAAAATTTAACCTATAGATTTGTATTTTAGACTGTTTAGTTGGATTCTATATGTTTCATACAGCTCTATTGTGAACCACCCTGAGCCTGCTCGCGGGGAAGGGCGGTATAAAAGTCTAATCAAATAAACAAACAAATAAATAAAGGATATCAGTTTTCAGAGTTTGCTGTGAGAGGAGTTGGGCAGCAATGTTCCCTCTAAGCTGTGGAGTCCTGTGAGCAAAAATTCTACTTTGTGAGCTACTGGCATGAAAGTTGTGAACAGGTGATTTGGCTACTGCATCAATTAGTTTGCTCTGGAGCCCTCCTTCCTGAGCTAAGGAAAAATGTGTGAGCTGGAGGCTAAAAAACTGTGAGCTAGCTCACACTAACTCAGCTTAGAGGGAACAATGTTGGGCAGGGCTTTTCTCTTAGGAAAAAGGAAAGGCTGGCGTCGCCGCCAGCTGCTTTTGGGGCCCTGTCGTTGACCTCCTCTGTGAGTCTGAGGCGCCGTGGAGTGCTTCCGTGGTTGCGCGTCGCCTGTCTTGTCAGGAAAGGAAGTGAGGAGCCAAAGGGATTTCTTTGTCAGTCCGCGAGATCAAAAGGAACCTTTCAAGGTGCCGGCGCTGACAGAGCTTTCGTGTCCCCGAACTCCCGGGAGAGGAGCACCGAGAGGCACATCTGGCAGCCACGTCAGTCTTCATATAAACGGCCCCCTTTGTAGTTGTGAACGGCCTTGGCATCGCTCAGGGCCGAGGGTGTTCTGTATGCACTCCACCACAGTCTTGACCTTGCGTAGAGCTCCTCTGGGGAGGAAGCGTTCGGCAGAGATGCCGTTTTGAGACGAGAAGATTTATTTTTCCCCTCTCTGCTGGCGTGGCCTCATCTGTGCCAGTAGCCTGGATAATATGGGGATGCTTACTTGTTTAGGCCTCTAAGCTGAGTCAAGAAATCAATTAATTAGTCAACTAATTGGCTGCGCTTTAGTTGATTAACCAGATGAATCTGTGTCGGAGGGGGGAAAATGCTTCCGGAGAGAAAAACCCAGTGTTTTTATTTGAAGCGTTCTCTATCCTCTCTTGCGCAGGAAGGAATCCTTTTCTGAGATACTCCTCACCGTACGAAGTTTTTAAGATAATTCTTTAATTTATGATAATTCATAGAAACCAAAAATCAGCTACCTGATTAATCAGGGTCACTTTTCAAACCCCTCAGACTGTTTGTGGTTCATCAGTATACTAGACTAGTCATTGGAGATCTTAATTATTATTCTGTTGTTCTTTATTTTAAAAACAAATTAAAAAGCCAACTCTTTTCTTTCTGAAAAATGGGCTTCAAAAAAACCGAGAAGCAAATCTTATGAAAACACAATTTCAAAAGGTGACCAGCTCTATCAACCAGGGGTCCACAGTGTGGTCCTTGTGGGCAGTACAGTGGTACCTGCTGACCCCTTTCCTCGCACCCGCCAAGTGCTTTTAGAACGTGGGTGGGGCTAGGTGGGGTTTTCGCCCAGCAGGGTTTCTGATTCATAGAATCATAGAATCATAGAGTTGGGCCATACAGACCATCTGGTCCAACCCCCTGCCCAATGCAGGACCAGTCTAAGGCATCTGTAGTTCCCCATCTCTCATTGCCTCTGTAGATTTAAAGACATTCCGTTAAGCAGACCTTCCGCCTGGAATGTTGAAGAGCTACTATTAGAATTATGCACAGCCTCGTTACCTGACATCTTTGTGGTTGGCCCCACCTCTGGCAGCCGCTATTTTTGTGATTAGCTCCACCAATGTTCCCTCTAAGCTGTGGAGTCTTGTGAGCAAAAATTTGTGAGCTCCTGGCATTAAAGTTGTGAGCAAGCGCTTTGGCTACTGCATAAATTAGTTTGCTCTGGAGCCATCCTTCCTGAGCTAAGACAAAAATGTCTGAGCCGGAGGCTACAAAACTGTGAGCTAGCTCGCGCTAACTCAGCTTAGAGGGAACACTGAGCTCCACCTACTACGGCAACCATTTTGTGATTGCACCCACTGCCCCGGGTCAGAATTCCAAAGAAGCCTTGAGGCTCAAAAAGTTTGGAGACCCCAGCTGTAGAGAGGCAGCACTTTCTCCATCAGATCCTAGAAAGCAAAAAATAAAAGCACAGCCAAACACCCTGACCGGGATAGCCCAAGCAAGCCCAATCTCATCAGATCTTGGAAGCAAAAATAGCAGACTTAAACTGGGAAACCCAATCACTGAACACTACACCACACTTGAAGTTCATACGGCATTGGGCACCTGTTATAAATTATTTGACAACACACGAAGTACTCCCCACAAATCCCCGATATCACAGTTGGCTGTCTTTGTAAACTACACTAGTCCCTACCCTCTAGTCACCCCAACACAAGTCATGTTTTTCTCCAACTGTTTGGTCTCCACCACACTAGCTCCAAACACCCTGCACAAAGGCCCGCTCAAGCCATCAGGTTCACTGTACAGTAAATATAGTAAATCGCCGGAACAGTGACAGTATTACTAAAACCTGTATTTATGCTGGTAATATAACTCTCATCTTTCTGCGGTCTACACTCCTTTGTTTTTGTATATCGTGTTATGTAATGAATGTATTGTACTGTATAAAAGAACAAAAATAAATTAAAAAAAAAAAGATCTCGGAAACTAAGCAGGATCGACTCTGGCAAGTAGGGTGGGAGACCTTGAAATAGCAGCAGTTGGGAGGAGAAGGGCAGGTTTATTCAGCCACCTCTCTGGATATCCTCCAGCCCCCCCATAGGGGTCAGCCACCCGAGGTCGCCATGACTTCCAGGTGCCAAATCACCGAACGCTACACTACACTTGAAGTTCATACGGCGTTGAGCACCAGTTATAAATTATTTGACAACACACGAAGTACTCCCCACAAATCCCCGATATCACAGTTGGCTGTCTTTGTAAACTACACTAGTCCCTACCCTCTAGTCACCCCAACACAAGTCATGTTTTTCTCCAACTGTTTGGTCTCCACCACACTAACTCCAAACACCCTGCACAAAGGTCCGCTCAATCCATCAGGTTCACCGTACAGTAAATATAGTAAATCGCTGGAACAGCGACAGTATTACTAAAACCTGTATTTATGCTGGTAATATAACTCTCATCTTTCTGCGGTCTACACTCCTTTGTTTTTGTATATCGTATATCGTGTTATGTAATGAATGTATTGTACTGTATAAAAGAACAAAAATTAAATTAAAAAAAAAAAGATCTCGGAAGCTAAGCAGGATCGACTTTGGCAAGTACTTGGATGGGAGACCTCCTTGAAATACCAGCAGTGGGGAGGAGAAGGGCAGGTTTATTCAGCCACCTCTCCGGATATCCTCCAGCCCCCCCATAGGGGTCAGCCACCCGAGGTCGCCATGACTTCCAGGTGCACACACAGTCAGTCTCCAGATATACACACGCACAAACATATGAAACCCCCCCAAAAAAATACTTTAAAAAAGCACAGCCAAACATAGGATAGAGCAGATGCACTTTTTTTGGGGGGGGGGGTAGCAAGGATTTGTACAAAGACAGGAATCCATTCAGATCTGTAACTGGTAGTGGTACATCTTCGGAGTGGACAGGATGTAGATGAGGTCCAGCACAGATGGGGAAAGCCCGTGCTGGGTCAAGCAACAAGGGCTTCTGCCTGAGGCCACGTGCCCAGCTTCCCACCTGGCCCCCTTGAGCATTGCCACTGCAGTGCTCAGGAATCTCGATTTTTTTTTTGGCCTCCATTATACACTATCAGACTGTTATAAGCAATGGGGAATCTATCTGGGGGTATCCAGGGGTCTGGGAGGGTAATTCTTTTAGTTAGAGGCATCAGATTTTCAGCATAGCTTCTCATGCCTTTCCTCAGAAGACCCCTCCCCCCCAAGTTTCAAAAAGATTGAACCAGGGAGGCCTAATTTTATGGTCCCCCAAAGAAGGTGCCCCTATCCTCCATGGTTTCCAATGGGGGGGGGGAACAGCAAAAAAAAGCAAGGACTGATGTCAAACCAGAGAATATCTGCCATGGAAATGGAAGGTGGGACATTTTTGTAAGCCCAGCAAAATCCAGTGCCTCCCCACCTCCAGTTTCTACTGCAGAGACTCTCTGGCTTGACATCAGTCCTTGCTTTTTTTGCTGTCTCCCCCCCCCCCCCCCCATTGAAAACTAATTTTCCTCATCTGGTAACATTCTGGTCTGTGCTCTGAGTGCTATTAGTTTAGTAAAGCTTCCACTGATTGGATGGTCCAAAGCTTCATCCATGCAGGTCATATGATCTGTCATAGCTTGTAACCAAAGTCACAGCTTTGGAATGTCTCTTAGGCTCAGAGAGTATCACTGTGAGTTGATCCCGGTACTGGTGGGGGAGAGGACCAAGTGTAAGGAGAAAGGGAGGACCAGTGAGTCCCAGGAGTAGCTCTTTACTGCCCCCCAGTGACCCTTCTGAAGTTCTGAAAGATGTCCTCACTGTGTATCCCCACTGTTCCACAGCTCCCACTGGCGTCAGCCCTCCGTGGACGAGCACGCCGAGCTGGGAGACATCAACGCCGACATCAACAGCTTCCGCTCCACTTGGTCGAAGTACATCCAAGAGAACAAGCAGAAGTGGAAGGAGCGAGCAGCCAGCGGTATGGACCGACAGCAGGGCAAAATATAGGGCATCAGATTGCCTCTGAGAAATCCCCACCTCCATGGCTGGCAAGGCCTGGGCCGTGATGCTTCCCACTTTTGGTCTGGTATTTCTAGGAGGGCATTATGGGGCGTGCCTGTTGGGGTCTCCAGCCCAAGGCATTGTGGCAGAACAGAGACATCTCAAACTTCAGCACCACCTCCACCCCTCTGAAAATTCGGTTTTTCTTTTCTGCCCGAAACGAACATTGCATTGGGGAGCTCTGTTCCTATACAAATGTTTTGCTTACTGAACCGTTGTCCAAATGTGGGGTTTGTGTGCGCTAGGAATGTTAACATCCCATTGCAAAATTGATGCGGGGATGGTTGGCCTTGGGGGAGTAGCACAGGTTTTCTTAGGAAAGCATATTTCACAGATTCATCGTCCCGCCATCTGTGGAAGAGGTAAAAAAGGTAGGTAAAGGTTCCCTTGCTCAAAAGCCAGTCGAGTCCGACTCTAGGGTTGCGGTGCTCATCTCCGTTTCAAAGCCGAAGAGCCAGCGCTGTCCGAAGACGTTTCCGTGGTCATATGGCTGGCATGACTAAACACCAAGGCGCACGGAACGCTGTTACCCTCCCACCGAAGCGGTATCTATTGATCTACTTGCAATTTCTTGCTTTTGAACTCTGCTAGGTTGGCAGGAGCAGGAACTAGAGACGGGAGCTCACTCCGTCATGCGGCACACTCGGGTCTTGAACTGCTGAACTACTGACCTTCCACAGCCTGCAGTTCAGCGTCTTAACCACTTGAGCCACCGCAGCTCCGTGGAAGAGGTA